CTGACAGACTGACAGATGGGTGGTGTGGTTCCTCTACTGGGAAGTGAACCGGGGGCTGCCAAAGCAGTCAGCACTGAACTTGAACCACTAGGCCACAGGGGCTGGCTCTAGCAATGTTTTTAATACTCACTGAAGTACTGGTAGTTAAATGATATATTTTTCAGTGATGAAATTATAAATTGCAGGGTCTTTTAAAAAAGCAGTTTGAGGGGCCAGCTCGGAGGCAAAGTGGTTAAGTTTGCACACTCCACTTGGATGGCCCGGGACTCGCAGGTTCAAATCCTGGCCACGGACCTACGCACTGCTCATCAAGCCATGGTGTGGCAGCATCCCATATACAAAATAGAAGAAGATGGGCATGGATGTTAGCTCAGGGCCGATCTTCCTCACCAAAAAAATAAATAAATAAAAATAAAAAGCAGTTTGACAATGGCAGAGGAGCCTTAAAAACCTTTATACCCTTTAGTCAGTAATCTCACTTTCTCTAAGAACAAAAACCCTAAAGAAATAATAAATCGGGGGCCAGCCCCGTGGTGTAGCAGTTAAGCGCACACGCTCCGCTGCTGGCGGCCTGGGTTTGGATCTCAGGTGCGCACTGAGGCACTGCTTGTCAGGCCATGCTGTGGCGGCGTCCCACATAAAGTAGAGGAAGATGGGCACAGATGTTAGCCCAGGGCCAGTCTTCCTCAGCAAAAAGAGGGAGATTAGCATGGATGTTAGCTCAGGGCTGATCTTCCTCAAAAAAAAAGAAAAGAAATAATAAATCGGGTGAAAAACTTGGGCATATCCTAAAGCAAACTCTAAAAGTGCTATAATAAAGATATAAACAAACTATATAGAAACAAGTATGGAGGAGAAATTACTTTTGTATGAAAAACTTGAAGAAAATTTCTCATAGAAGCTGAGATTTAAGTTTGACTTTAAAGATTAAGACTTCAATGGCCAAATACTGAAATATTTCAAACAGAAAGCTCAGGCCTTGGGAAACTGCAACATGTATTTGTTTTTAGTTTTCCAAATAGAATAGCAAGTGGAATGGATGGCTATAATGAACACACGCTGGCTGGATAAGGCTAGTGGAAGGGGATTAATTTCTTGTGGACAGGCTGGGGCTCTGACCCGGAGGAAGAGAATTAACTTGTTCTGCACGCAAAAACTAGTGTCTTTAAGCAAACATGTCTTAAGAAGAAAACTCTAGGAGCAGTGTGTAAAATGGTTTGGTACAGAGAAAAAAAAATCTAGAACCAGGGAGTCCAGTTAGGAAAACTTAAGTTTTCCTAAGGAAAACTGATTGCCTAAGAGGCAATCCGACATTGTGATAGAGTCAAGACTATTGCAATAAGGTAGAGAGATTGAACTCAACTCCACTAAAACAGAAGGTGGGAGAGTTTTTAAGCACTGAGGTGAAACAGTAAAAAAGTACTGGAGGACATTAGGGGAGAGGTTGGGCATTGTGATTAGGACAACTATATTTGCTAATTGGCGCACACAGAAGTTATGTTCCTACCCCCCGACAGAGGCTGGGCAATAGAGGCACTATTTTTCTTGATGATCGCATTTCAAAGACATGGCTCCCAGATCCTTGAGAAAGACGTTGCTGGGTTGTAAAGCTGGCAACAAGCTAGGAGAAGATTTACATCTCAAAGGAACAGAGAAAGTATTTATAATTGCAAGTTTAAATTCTCGAAGAAAAGGGAGGTCAGGGGCCTGTAGTCGGGAAGAAACCTATCTAAAGCTTAGTCAAGCTGAGGAGAATGTCAAGGCTGTCTTGGCCCGATTTATAGGTTCTTACTTCTGTTAATATATGTCATTAAATGGTTTCAACTCCTTTGTGTTACTCTTTTTTCCCCTCTGTTGTTCAGTTTTCTCTTGCTCTTAAGATATTCCTGCCTACCGTTGTTTTTTTTAGTGTTCTTCGTTTTCTTTTCTCAGCTCTTCCCTTTCTGCTAGTGTTCCATCTTAGCTTAGTGATTCCCCAATGCCAACCTCTGTTAATTAAGTAGCTGGTGGCTGTTCCTATTGATATAAAATTTATTAATTGCTTCACTAAGAACGAGTCTATTATTCAAGCTTTTATACAGACAAACATAAGACAAAGACATTGAAAACATTAAAAGAAATCAAAGACATCCAAGAGGCAATCAGAGCTTGATGTAGAGCTGTGGACGTCAGTGGAAAGGAGGATCAGAGGCAGGACTGTCTGTACTCGGCAACTTGGCTGGACACAGGACGCTAAGGGAGAAAGGCGGAATAAAAACAACACCCAGCTTTCAAGTCTTAGGGGCTGGGAGCAGGGAGAGAACAGGTTTGGGAGGATTAATAGAAGATGAATTTTCTTTTGGACAGGGTGCATTCAGAGAATACTGATACGGTGGTGCCCACTACTTGAAATTCAAATCTAAGCCTCAGAGTTAAAAATAGACATCAAAATTATAGTTTAAATTACATGGAAATAATAGCAGAGGAGGGTTTAAGTAACAAAGAGCTCAAAATAGATTAGGGAGCAGGCACTGAACCTCTAGGGACATGCATATTTAAGGACCGTGTGGAGAAGGAAGAGCCCATAAAGGACATGAGAAGGATCACAAAGCCGGAGAACCTCAAGAGGGTGCACTGACCAGCAACGTGAGGTGTCACAAAGATTTACACAGAGATCAAGCCAGCTGGAGTCAAGGGGGGGCCCTAAGATTTAGCAATTAGTAAGGCACGAGAGTCTTTAAGAAAGCAGTTTTTCAAATGTGAAGAAGAGTTTGTTAGTTCCTCAAAAAGTTAAACATAGACTTACGACATGAATCGGCAATTCCACTCCTAGACATGTCACGGCTCAACACAAGGTCGACGCAAGAGAAGCCGTACTGTACAACAGAAACCATATTGTAACTTTGAATGACCTCTGATTAACTAACCCAGACATGCTCTGTGGATTTTACAGCCCCTCCCAGCTGCTATAAGTTGATAACTTTGTTCTTTTGCATTCCTTAAGAATGTGGTGACCCCAGGGCAGAGTCTATGCTGATAGCCATCAATGACAACTGAAAGATCAGGGTGTAGTGCATCGCTCAGGTCTCTGATGCATATCCAGTAACACAGAAGACTATCAGGAACTAAGAGCAGATGTCTGCCCCACACGGAGACCTGCACCTATACAACTGGCCTGTAGCCTTTGTTCTGTAAGATGGTTCTTTCTGACATTAGCTGGCCATCTTCCCCCTTACTGCAAGCTGTAGTCAGGTCCTTTCTTTCCTACCTCCTTGCCTCTTGACTATTGGCACATCTTGTGGCCGGCAGATGACCCCCCACCCTTCTCGGGCGCTAACAGGTATATACCCCAAACAATCCAAAACAGAGACTTGAACAGATACATGTAACGCGTGTTCATAGCAGCATTATTCACAGTAGCCAAAAGCTGGAAACTGCCTACTATCCATCACAGATGAACGGATAAACAAATTGGGATATGGCCACACAACGGAATATTATTCAACCACAAACAGGAATAGTGTCTGATACATGCTACAACATTGATGAACCTTGAAAACATTCAGTGAAATAAGCCAGACACAAAAGGACAGGTATTGTCTAATTCCACTTCTACGAGTTATCTAGAATAGGCAAATTCACAAGACAGAAAGGGCTGGAGGGAGGAGGAAGGGGCACTTACTGCTTAACGGTTACAGAGTTTCTGTGCGGGCTGATGAGAAACGTTGGGAAATTCTTGGGAAATAGTGGTGATGGTGCCACAATATTGTGAATGTACTTCACGCCTCTGAATTGTACACTTTTTTTTATCACAATAATTTTGTTTAAGTTTAGAAGATAAAACCCAAAATGCAAGGAACAGCACAGAAATTATCAACAGAAGCCGTGAAAACTTCCACCGTTTAACTTGAAAAGCTCAACTGATACATCTTGAGGGTAGAGCGAAGTTTTCTGCTTTCAATTTTTCCGAAGGCAGAGCAGAGCTCAACATGTGGAATTTCTAGGCAAAAGCAAAGAACTGAGTGCAGAAAAAAAAAAAAAGTCTGAAAAGTCTGGCCGAACACTGTGCTTTGGGGGAGGAGTAGCAGCACCGAGTTTTGCTGGTACGTAGCAGTCGTTCGAAAAGCACATTCCAAGTTACAATTTCATTTTATATTTGGAAAACCAAACAACCATTTTCATCACACAAAGTAAAAAGGCACGATGGACCAAATCTCCTCTGAAGATGAAAATAAGCAAAGCTAGTCCGTCCTGAGCACTTCAACACTCCCGCAAGGGTGCGTCTACCAGAACTGGAGGGAGGAGACTCGATATTTTTAATTTGTCCAAACGGCATGTATTTTAACAACGTGGGAAACTGTGCAAGACGGCCTGATTCCTTCAACAAGCATACTGCAAAGAAAAAGAAAAGGGAAATTTAAAAGGCTCAACGACCAAAGCCACGTGCGGACCCGGCCAAACTCCTGACCCCGCACAATCCAATCATAAAAAAGAAAAATTGCGACTTTCAGGGAAACGTGAACACAGCCTGAACATGACGGACACTGAGAGTTGAGTCCCGGAGGCGCACTACTCAATTCGCTCAGCTTTTCACAGGTCTGAAATTTTCCGCAATCATTTCCGGGCCACTACCCTTTGCTCTCGTCTCCAGGCTGAGCCGCACGGCGCTGGGCTCCCCCGCGGACAGCGCGGCGGGGCCGGACACGACGGCGGCCTCCGCCACT